AATTTCATGCTGTCGATGCACTAGAGCGCTTCAAGTCTTTCAAGTTCCATCCAAGTTAAGTAAGCCTTTCAAGTTAGAGAGCCATTTCTAACCAAGGAAACTTTTTCAATTGTTCGCTTGTGACATCTTTCATGGAGTCTTGCTTCATGAAAGTCTTTCAATGCTTGTTGTTTGAAGTCTTTCAGGACTTCAAACAACCAAACAGAAGATCTAAAACAAGAGTCATATAAAGTTACACAGCGGCAACCAACTGTGATCTTCTCCCGCACGTAAATCCCACCAGATATCTGACGTTGAATTAATGTTTACTTAAACGTTGTTTGGTTAAATCAACGTGAATTCAACGTCGTTTCTGCACAATTTGCCTGGTAAGAACGTGGCTGTAGAACTATTGCGGTTTGAATGTTAGCAGTTGACGTAACCTGAAACTTCGAAATAGGCATTTCATGAATTATAATGAATTCATTTTAAATTATTACCATATTTTTAAGTTAGTTTTGAGTAGTCAAATTTCAAACTGAGCGGTAGTTTTTCTTTAGAAATCTGGTAATATTTACGTAGGTAGAATTAAAGGAGTTTAAAAATTATGTGCCAGCCAGAGACGAATTCTAGTTTTAGAAGAGAATTCTGAGGACCGAAATGTGTATGAAACTCTTAGTCTCAGAGTAAAGAATCTATAAAACAATTCTAAATTTTTTCATATGGATGTATTTGGATCATGCCGCTGTATAATATAATATATAGGGCGATTTCGAACTCATATCCATAATCTTATCGAGATATCGTGGATCTGAAAGTGCACCATTTGTGAGGCATTGTGAGGAATCGAAGAACTTTAGATAGATGAAAAAAATCTTATTCAAATTAATTTTATCAGAAAAGTTCAAATTGTTTAAAAAAATAATGACTACAATGTCCTCTATATTTGAAATAAATCTTATTAGTATTTTGCATTTTAATTGACGTATTTATGGGCTTTCCTCCTACTGACAGTATTTTACTTCAAGGATTACTATCGCTTCCGCAAGTTATCGATATCTGAAATTGGTTTAAAGTTTATAAATTATAAAATTTGGTTTTAAACACTTAGACATATCGATGAAATAGTTAATTATCGATGATTTAAAAATATTTATATATAAGATGAAGAATTTTCTATGGAGCGTGAAATTCTTTAACTATCTCGTTAAGAGTCATCAAATCGCATTTTATGATATCACGGCTAAGTTGTCTGAATATTAAATGAAAAGATATCATTTTATACGATACCCGATTTTATACGATTCTTCACATTGCATAACATCCCAAGGATTTCTGGGATGTCCTTCCCATTTCATTACATCCCAAGGATTTCTTTGATGTCCTTCCCATTTCATTGCATTCCGAGGATTTCTGGGATGACCTTCCCACTTCCTTACATTACGAGGATTTCTGGGATGTCCTTTCCACTTCCTTACATTACGAGGATTTCTGGGATGTCCTTCCCACTTCCTTACATTCCGAGGATTTCTGGGATGTCTTTCCCATTTCATTACATCCCAAGGATTTCTGGGATGTCCTTCCCATTTCATTACATCCCAAGGATTTCTGGGATGTCCTTCCCATTTCATTACATTCCGAGGATTTCTGAGATGTCCTTCCCATTTCATTACATCCCAAGGATTTCTGGGATGTCCTTCCCACTTCATTACATTCCAAGGATTTCTGGGATATCCTTCCAATTTCATTACAATCCGAGGATTTCTGGGATGTCATTCCCACTTCATTACATTCCGAGGATTTCTGCTAATTCCTTAACTTTCAATTAGGTCTAAATCTGCTGCTAATTCCCTAAAGTTAGTTCGAGCCTGCAGAGATGTTGCAGTAAGGGCTCAGAACAGATCGAGGGTCTTTACCCTCATATATATTATATGAAGCGAATGTAATGAATGAATAAATGAATTGAGGAATGAATTCCTCGCATGAATGATATGCGGAAAATCTATTGAGTGTGGCAGGTTTTTTAACGTTTTGGAAAGAAGTGTATATGATCATTAATTCATTATTTTCTTATGATTAAAAGCAATGCTTGGATTGCAACTTTTGGAGTCCCAAGAGTGGTGGATTCTATGCTAATTTGAATACATCTTTGTAACGCACTAATTTTTCATTATTATTATTTATTACTTCATTTTAATTGGTCTTTACTTCATCAATTGGAAGCACACCAAAACCTTTAAATACTTTAACTTTAAATACTTTAAGTATTTAATATTTTAAATACTTTAAATACGAATATAATGTAACTCAAACGTAACCTGCTAACCATGTTTGGCAGGAAAATTGGGAGAATTCAGTTCATGTTCGTAGTTTAATACACAAAATACGGTGAATAAATTGAGTACTTTTGTATTGAATAAAAATCCTTTATTGAATCTGCGCCTGAATTTACCTCGAGTATACAGTTGAATTTTAAGTAGAAAACAACCGAACGGCTTCGGTTTCCCAAGCTACTTAAAGTTCCCTTGAAGTACAGATTTGCAGCATTGTATTATTTATGGAGATAAATCCACTTTCACATATCCTCTCTCCCGAAGTACACGCTTTACTAAATAGCATTGTGACTTCAATGCTAAGACAAAAGCATTCGTTCATTTTTGTTCATAACAGAATGAAGTCCATTCTTGAAGAAAATATTATGAAATATATCAATTTATGCAGTGGCAGTAGTCAGCTTTTATCATAACCAACAATTTTCACTGCCAGATATCTGACGAATTGCCAGAATTTTCCCTCGCTAAAAGGCCTTTTAGCACTAACAGTTTCCAGGAAGAGACCAGCTCCTCAAACGAGACTTGCCGTGGACCATCAATTGCGTCAGCCGAAAGCAATAGCCCAGCAAATAGAGACCCAAACCTAGACGGAGCAGCGGCCTCGGTTTCAAAACTACCTTGGTGCATTTTAGGCTCGATTTCACAAAACACCCCGTTTGCACACAGGGAAACATTAAAGCAAATTATTCAATCTCTCTTATCTCCCTTTAATCTCCAATGAAATCCATCTTAACTCAATTTTCAAATTTAATTTTCCGAAAAAGTGAAGGAAACTATTAGGGACCAATCGATGATGTGCAGATGGTTTCGAGAAGTAATGTAAAAATGATTCAAATCATCGTTTAATTGCTGCCGTGAAGCTTTTGTATGCCTTTTTACAGATTTAGACGATTTCCTGAAAATCAAAATATTTCTCAAAAATTAAAAAAGTAAAATTTCTATCGTGATTGTATGTTCTAAGTTTGTATTTATTGCTAGTTGACGGGCTGCGTTATGACTTGACATTTATCATGTCACATGACATTTATCATGTCACATGACATTTATTATGTGCTGCATGATAAATGACAAATAAATTAGTTTTTTATTCACGATCCAGAAAATGTCAATTTCGAGACAGGGCAGAACCATAACATCCCTGGAGAATAATTCACTGATAGGATTGTAATTAGGGTACATTATTATCTACGAAATTTCCCTCGAGTGTGAGAGAAGTGAAAGTTGAGAACGAGATCCGAAAACAACCAAGGGTTCAACCAAGCATCTTTGAGAGCTGAACTAGATTCATATCCTGGTTTATTTAACAAATTCGGCGAGCTCTCAGATAAGAAGGCATTAAGTGAACCAGTAACTGCAGAACGGCTCGTCGTAAAACTTAAAAGTTTCTGTATTGTTTAACTTGATCAATATAGGGCATCGAATTACTGCTTCAGGATAAATGAACTAAATAATTATAGTTCACCCACGTGTGGCTTCAGATTGACGAACTAGATTATTTTTACATGTTTGATAGTTATTACTGTTTACTTGATAATGTTGTTCTCAGTAGAACGATTCCCCGTTCACAAGTATTGGAATCAGGTAACAGTTTGAGATAATAAAATATTAATTTCTTGTGTCATGACCTCTTCTGGAAAAGGTCAGAGCTTCCACATATTTCCCGTGTTTTACAACATCACCGACCGCCCTTTGAAACTAAGATTTTTATTTGAAGCCTTGGTAAGTCAACTAACCAACTTCTCTCTGGACAATTTTAAACTAACATCCTAATTTTTGTTTCCTAACTTTTTTCTTCGCAGGTGACATTTTTTCCTCTGCTATTCAATTTGAAATTCGCTCCCTGACTGAAATATGAACTGAAGTTGAGACGTTCTGCCCGACTTTATAACAGCTGCAGGAATGTATTCGTCCAGAGTTTATTAAACAAAACGGAATCGTGAGTGAAATGAAAGTTGTTAAGTTCGTAAAAATACTCCTATTTTTCTCGAATGAGCAGAGAATTCAGAAAATTGTGTACGTTATTACACAGAGTTATTGATGTTCAAACGAAGCTCATTAATCAACTGTGACTGATGTCGGTCCCCAAGATCATAACCATTGCTGAAACTGGAGGTGCTTCATAAAAAGAATCCATGATTTTTTTATTGAAATGAAAGAACTTTCTCTCACCCTAAGTATTTTCCACTCACCCTTGAAGAACTTCAAGAATTTCACATAATATTGTTTCCCATTTTGCTTTAGACGTAAAATTGTGCATAGCATTCGTCTTTTCATCGAGTCCAGCAAGTCGAAAAAGCCAATAATTTCCGAACTTCAATTTGTTGGAACTTCCACGTGAAACCATCTTTCAATTCATTGATTTAAATTCCTGAATAACATATTCAATACGCTTCACTAGCCTTTTGTCCATTACCTCATCAAGCATTATATGTTGCAAACAAATTTATTCTGCTACTACGGTGAAAACTAAATCAGAATGATCCCATTAGTTAACATTTAATAAAGCCCCCCTCAGTTGTTGTTAATTGCGTGATTTTAGAGAATTATCATCAGTCAGAGACACAGCATCTTAAATTTGTTTAAAATATAGACACAGCATCCTAAATTTATATAACAATAATTGAATCGTTACGATAATAAACGCAAAGTTCAAGGAAATAGAGGAAGTAAGTTAGCCTACCTTCAACTATGGGGGACACTGAACATCGCATTCGCCTCGTGCTTCTAGGTGGTGCAGGAGTGGGTAAGAGTTCGATTATCAAACGTTTCCTGTACAACCTGTACTCTGATAAGTACAAGAGCACCGTGGAGGACCTGTACAACAGGGACTATGACATAGGCCCCATCACACTCAAAGTTGACATACTTGACACGGCTGGAGACTACCAATTCCCCGCCATGCGGAGGCTCTCAATAGCTAACGCGCATGCCTTCTTGCTCGTATATTCTATAAGCGAGGAGAGCTCATTCGAGACCGTGCAGCAATGCATTGAAGAAATACGAGAACAAAGGGCGGATTTCGAAGACCTTCCTATTGTTATTGCCGGCAACAAGATGGACCTCGAGATTGAAAGGAGAATCTTCAAGGAAGACGTCACTGAATGGACATCAAAAAACGCTTACACTTTTCGGTGAGTACCAAATGTTATCGAAGTCTCGCAAACCTAAATCCTTCTTTGTAGGGTTTCACTAATGATGTTCTACCAGGAAAACATTTTGATGTGAAGATATTTTAGTGCTACCTATATTTAATATTTTACTAAGCATGTTTCCGGCTGTACCTTCCACAAAACTTCTTATAAATATATAAATATATTAAGCCTCAATATTTTCTTCTCATTTTTGGATAACAACTCAAGGTTCTTAGTTTAAATCGCTATTGATGTTAGAAAATTTCAGTTTTGCCTATTATATGCGTCGAGTTCTCTGAGTTTTTCATCTTCTGAAAGTGTATTATCATGACTAAAATAATTTATTCAAATGATTTCTATGGAACGTGGAAGACTCAGATATGAAAGTTGATGATATTTTTCTGTAATTTTTTATTTCTTGCAAATTTCAGCGAACGTTAAATGAGTTCAGAAATTTTTGTTCGTAGGTATTCCAGCGTTGCATAAAGTGACTGAAAACATTTTAATCGGCACATCGTTCTATGAAAATTTGACGCATGTGAAAAGGGTTATGAAGACTGAAATATACCGAATCCATTTCCGGGTCATTGTGAATGTAACGCTTTTCTCCCCTCCAGTGCATTCGCATCAGTAGTGTTGACGATATTTTCCCTCTATGAATCATATGAAAGTGCAATAAATATTGTGAAGAATATAACCTTATTCCTTATGACATATTATATAGTAATAATATCACATATAGATGCTCTCAGTGAATGTCATTTTTGTACAGTAATATTCACTAAACAAAGGGAACTTTATTTAATTTTAGGTGGACTTCTATGAATTTATTATATGAGAATGAAACCCACTTCGTTCAGCCTTTAACCAAGTGGGTACTCACTTAGAAATCATTCTTTTTGTAAGTAATAAAAAGAAACTGAACCAATTTACTTTATTGAACTTCTAATATTAAGGCACAATAATCTTTCTAAATTCAATGTAATAAATAATAATAATCTTTCTAAATTCAGATCTTTCTAAAATACGTGAATATAGACTCTGTTTTCCCGGAAGTGATCAAATGTTTTAGAGTTCTTGAATTGAATGTTATTTTATTGGTAGACATTAGGCATAAATTTGGTGTTAATTTTAAATTAATCAGTGTTAGAATTGTAAGAATGTTTTAGAGAGTATTGGACTGAGCGGAAACTTGACTGTTGTCAGTTCAGTTCATTAGTCTCTGATGTTCAAATGTGCGACGTTCCTTTGAACGAATATGTTTTTATGTGAAGAACAGGAGTTGATTTATAATTGAAACGGTGTGACAATAAAGCAACCCAACAAATATATTTGTCCATTTGTGAATCAGACATTTTAATGTCGGATGCTCTTGTAGTGTTGACGATATTTTCCCTCTGTTAATCATATGAAAGTGCTATAAATATAGTGAAAAATATAAGCTTATTCCTTATGACATATTATATCGTTATTATATCAAATATAGTTGCTCTCAGTGAATGTCATTTTTGTACAGTAATATTCACTAAACAAAGGGAACTTTTTATAAGTTTTTATTTAATTTTAGGTGAACTTTTATGAATTTATTATGCGAGAATCAAACCTACTTCGTTCAGCCTTTAAGCAAGTGGGTACTCATTTCGAAGTCATTTTTTTGTAAGTAATAAATATAAACTGAACCAATTGACTTTATTGAACTTCTAATATTTAGGCACAATAATTCAGATCTTTCTAAAATACGTCAGAATTTAGTTTTTCTATTTTCCCGAAAGTGATCAAATGTTTGAGATTTTGGATTAAATTTTATTTTATTGGTAGACATTAGGCTTATATGAAATAAATAATTTGTGTGAATTTAATTAATTAATTAATAATCAGAGTTAGAATTGTAATAATGTTTTAGAGTGTATTGGACTGAGCGGAAACTAGACTGTTGTCAGTTCATTAGTCTCTGAAGTTTAAATGTGCGACGTTCCTTTGAACGAATATGTTTTTATGTGAAGCGACTTCTGAGCAATAAAGTATTTTAATATGTCTGTTAGTTCAAGGGAAATGAACAGCAGTTGATATTTTATCGAGAAACAATGCTCAAACAGGGGTGGCAAAATAAAGAAATGTTTAAATGAAGTTCTTTATGTTTCATAATTAAAGCTAAGGAGGTCTAATAAATATCCAAAGATTTATAATAAAAACGAGGCTTATTAATTAACGTAATAGAGACCTTCCTAGTCGCTAACAGTATATACCCGATCTCTCTTTCGACAAAGGTTTTGACTCGTGAAAAATATTGATAAATTACTCCCAGGTTGCCGGCTCATTAATGAGGATAAAATGAATCCAAACTGAAAAAATTGGGTCTTTGCTTCTTTGAAATCTTCGAGCTCATAAGTTTTACACTACTTTTATTTTCCAACTTCATCGCTTTGAAAAGCAGCTATGCTTTGAAAAGGGCAATGTTTTACCGTGAAGGTAAAAAATTAGCTCGCTGCATCGCAATTCTTAATTGCTAATAATTAGTGCAAACGATAGCAAAGTGGGGATGCTATTTTTTTTCTGTCTACCTCGACTTCATTCAAATAAAAATTTCTAACATAAACATCGCCTTCACTCAGAAAATCTAAACAATTGCCAGTGAAATTTTAATGCTTACTTAATTGTGTAATGTGAATACATGCGTTTACAGCTCGACAAACTCGGTATAAGTTTTTTCAACGAACGCTTTTCTAAACAAAAACTCGAGGAAAAGAAACTTAGAACCAAGTGTGGCATTTTGCAGACAATAATTTCATTGAAATATAACCTGATATTGAAAACTTTTGATGTGAGCAACATTTTTTTCTCAGGCAAGAGAAGAATTCAGAAGTTCTTGAACAGAGACGTTCAAACCACACATGCGTTAGACGCTAGCGAGAGAAAAATTACTAGAAAAATCAACAAATTTTATACACTATAACATCATCCTTGAAAGCAACAACTCATTCTAGCTACCAGAAATTGAGACTGAAAATATATCAGAAACAACATTATACATGCGTCCTTGCAATAAAAATGGAGATAACTTGCCAGAATATAAACTATAAACTATATATAGCAAACGCACTTTACTAAAAATACGTCCATTTTATTCGCTTCGAATTAAATTTTAATGACCGGCCTCACATTTCAATTTCCTCCCGTTAAATTATAAATGCTAACAAAGATTATGCAAGATCCGTTCAGAAATAAACCTCTACGTGTTCTTGAGTAACTGCTTAACAACATTGACAGGTGCACATGCAGCTGTTACATATTCTTCTAATGCTATAAGTGTTACATTTGCTGCAAGTCATGCCCTCACTGCATTTGCTGCAAGTCATGTCCTCACTGCATTTGCTGCAAGTCATGCCCTCACTGCATTTGCTGCAAGTCATGCCCTCACAGCATTTGCTGCAAGTCATGCCCTCACTGCAATTGCTGCAAGTCATGCCTTTCCATTTTATTAAAATTTCTAGGCTCATATACCGATACCAAGAAAGCAATAGATGAACAACTGAAATTCTAGCGAAAATTATTGAACTGAAAATATGCATTCCGATAAACGGACGAAAATTTAAGACGCTCAAATACCGAAAATACTAATTTATTAGGAATGCAAACCTCTGCTCTATGCAGCTCTGAAGCCGAGCAACTTTGCATGAATATCTGTATAACATTTTGTGGCTAGGTTTTCTATGTGGAGAAACAACTTTACATAAATATTTTTTTGGGGCTAGGTTTTCTATGTGCAGAAAGATTATTTTAGCGATAGACGCAGCGTTCGACGTGATCTCTTCCTACAAGAAGGCTCACCGCGAGTGAAAGATGAAATCAGTTGATGTATAGGTTGCGAGCCTTCATAAATATAAATAGCATCAATAAATATAAATAACATTCAATAAATATAAATGACATTCAATAAATATAAATATCATCAAAATTAATAATTCCCGCGAGTTAATGGAGTGCCAACAATTTTACATTTTTTTAAATAACAAAAATATTTTACAGCTCATGTTCACCGAGCTCAGTTTAAGTTATAGTATTCCCAGATGAGGAGAATTTAGACATTTTCAGACCCTGAGAAAGTGAATAAAATGAAATATTTAGTATAGCGAATAAAATAAGATATTTAAAAAATAGTAAATAATAATAGCAAAGAACGAGCCTTTGGTCCTTATTTTTTATTTTATTTTATTTGCTATTTTTATTTTATTTTTGCCCCCTTTTCTACGCATTTTTGGTGGTCATAAAATACTTGATCCTCTAGTTTATATACAATTCAATTCATGTGATTATCCTCATGCTTTTTCTTGCATTTTCCGTTTCAGAAAAATCCTGTGTGCAAAGATCGTTTAAAACTATCCACTTACAAAATGGTTTCGATGTGAAAATTGAACGAACAAAATTGTTCAATGTAATGAAAGTTACACTTCTGTGTAACTCTCATTAAATACTTATTTTATGATTTCTAAATATTATTGTTCGCGATATTTATTTATTGTGAGTTATTATATAGGTATTTATATATCGTAAAACCAAAGTATCAATACCTCATCTTGTATCTTGTTTACAGTTTTTATTTTTTGAATTTATATCACTTGTTTGCTTAAATCGCAAATTAACTAAGAATTTAAAAGCAAAGAAAAGTCCAAAAAATTCATATCTTTTTAGAAAACGCTTCGGAAACCAGCTCCATCATCAGTTCGTATAATCTAGAATCACAAATCAGAAGTCACAAATTTTAATTTTTTATCTTAGTACCTCTTAAGTGTCCAGTTATTTTCAATCAATTCAGTGCGTTCTTAAAACTATCCACTTACAAAATTGTTTCGATGTGAAAATTGAACGAACAAGATTGTTCGATATAATGAAAGTTACACTTCAGTGTAACTTTCATTAAATACTTATTTGGTGATTTCTAAATATTATTGTTGGCGATATTTATTTATTGTGAGGTGTTATATAGGTATTTATATATCGTA